TGTGTGTGTGTGTGTGTGTGTGTGTGTGTGTGTGTGTGTGTGTGTGTGGGTGGGTGGGTGGGTGTTTTCTTCCTGGAGTTAATCAGAGAGACGGATGCTTTGTGGTTTCATTCACGTCATCCTTTCACTTCCTCTCTACCTCTCTACCTCTCTACCTCTTTATCTCTCTCTCTGTCTGTAAACACCCCACTTATAGAAGATTTGCTTTTAAATCAAACTTTATCAGTGAGGCTGAGGCGGACAGAGGCGGAGATGGAGTGATATCTTGTTTCTCCTCATGTCTTCTTTCTTTTGTCTTCTCTTCTTCAACTTCTCTACTTCCTCCACCCACCTCTCTCTCTCTTTGTGTCTCTCTCTCTTTGTGTCTCTGTCCCTCAGCTTTAAAAGGTTTCTTAACTTAGTGGCTTCACATCAGGGCCGTCGATGCTTCTGATCAAAGAGATCTCAACCTTGAAGGAGGAAAAGCTGGAGCTGAAGGAGAGATAGAAGAACATGAAGAGGAGCTGAAGAAGAAGAACAAGGCGATCATGATTCACTCAAGTAAGCAGCTTTACAGCATCTGCAGATTAAACGCGTCACAATAAAGTTATTGTAGGGACGTCAACAAACAGACTTATAAGTCCGAGAAGAAACTTTCAAAACAGCCGCAGGATGCAACAAACGAACTAAATGACAAAATTAGATTCAACAAATCTACCCGAGCGAGGCGACGTGTTGAGTAGAACGCGTGACTTAAAGGTTTCAGAAGAAACGTGATGTTTGGGCTCTAATGGTGAGCAAAGTAGGAATAAACCACCAAACATGCACGTTGAGTTAGTGACGAAATGAGCAAAGAGACGAACTAAAGTCTTCTCAAGTAGAAACGGATCCTCAGAAACATCGACGTTCTAAAAACAAAACTGTCACCAAACGTTTCTGATGTTCAGATTTATGAACTCGGCCCGTTAGATTTAGATTTAAAAGAGACGGTTTGGTTCGAGTCGTCATTCCAACAGCACAGACTTTGTTTTGGTTCTTTCTGCTCTTTTAATATGATTTTAGCGTTGAGCGTGTTCAGAGCTGGAAACGGAGACTGAAAGCTCAACCTGTCTGCATACATCCTCTGATATGTTCAGTACGTGGAAACATTTTGCTGCTAAAGGGAAGTTTCAGTTGTTTGTCTCAATGGTCAGAGAAAGCTGGTTCATGTTTGCGTCTCGTGTTTTCATCACAACAATGGAAGCATCTATTTCTCTTTAAAATAAGTCTTTGAACGCCACACCAGCAGCTCTGTGAGGTTGTATTGAAGCACTGAGCTAAATGCTAACGCTACAGTGGCAACATGGTAATGCTAAGCGCGCATATAATGACCACCATGTTTTATTAGCCTGTTAGCATGCTAATATTTACATACTCTGCATGCTAAACACAAGCTGAGGCTGATGGGAATGTCATCGGGTATTTGGTCATAAACCAAAGTATTGGACACATTTTGACCTGCCGGTGGCGCTAGAGGACAAGTCGTAGAATCACCAAAGTGGGCAGGGTTCATCCTGAAGGGAACATGAATATCTGCACCAAATTTCAATCTAATCCCTCCCATATTTCCTGAGATATCGCCATCCATAGAGCCAAACTGCTCGTAGACGAAATATGTTTCAGGAAGTCCAGTTTGAGTTTGATTATTCAAGCTGTGAGACTCATAACTCACACAAATCTGAACACACACACACACGATACACACATTTTTAGATTCAGTGTAACTCACACTTCTCGATGACATCATTATATCTGATGTCTGCAGGACTTAGTGATAGTTCTATAGACATCAAAGGGTTCATTGTAAACAGGAGCTGCTAATATCTAATTCTGCAAACTTTTATTTGTGCTAATTTGCCAAAATGAAAACAAATCTGACCTCATGCATCTGGCCTCAGCTCAGACTGCTTCACTCCTTGAAGGGTGTGATTGAGAGGTCTGGACTTATGGATGTTCACTGAACTGTAGAAGATTCGATGTCTACGGTCAGAAAGATGGGATTTAAATCACAGGATCTAATGAACGGCGGTGGAAGAGGTATTCAGATCCTTTACTTGAGTAAAAGTAGTAATACCTCAAAGTAAAAGTGCTTCCTACGTTAAAGTACAAGTACTATGTACTTTAAGCATCTGATGCATTAATGTCTGAGCAGCATTTTCTGCTCTTTAACCTGCAAAAACATGATTATATAAATCAATTAAGATTTCTCCTTGCGGGATTAATAAAGTATCTATCTCTCATCTATCCATCTATCTATCTTATAACAGCCAACATATTAAGTGTTCGGTCCTGAACCTCTGAGCCGTTAATGAGATGTTGGTTCACCACAAACCATTAGAGGACTTCATCTCTCCTGATCCGGACACATGGACCTCTGGGGGCTTTTATTTTGGCGGTTAATCACATGACAACCATCGGTCTGTTGTGTGTTTTGTCCTCAACAAAGTTCAACTCATTTAAGCTGAAACAGGAAGACGTGAAACACACACTGAGAAAGTGACCCACGCACGCACGCACACACACACACACTCATACACACACACACACACACACTCGCCCACAGAAACACTGACAGATGAAGAGGAGAGTGTGTTAGTTCTGTAGAGAAGGAAACTGTACTTCCTGCCAAAGACCTCCTACTCAAAACCACAACGAGTTCAACCAGAACCGTTTATACGCTCATTGTTTTACTCAATGACTGTGCTTCAGGTGTCAAACTTAATTCTGTTTGATTGTTATTGTATGAACGTTTTTATATACTTATATTATAGCTCCATATTATACATAGATTCATTTGTATTATATGAAATTTGATCATTTTATTGTCTCGCGTGCATTGTTCTGAGAATGTGAGATGTAACACTGGAGCTATTGATTTAAATATTATTATTTATGTATTAGTGATGATGCTTTAATGATCCACATACAATCATAAATTAAAGATATAATACTTTGATTTGAGTAAAACCTGAAGACTTTACTTACATCTCTGTTGAGCCTCTACCTCCTCTCAGTGAGTTTAAGCTTTTTATATTTCACTCTTTCAGAATAGCAATAACATGCATTTTCTATGATAATGTGCAGCTCATGATATTCTGTTTTATGCGTTTTTTTGTCGGTAAAATGATATTTTCCTCCCGTTTGCTGCAGATCACTCGATCCACTCCATCTTCTGCTGCTGCTGCACCGTACAGAGCAGGTACGTCAACGCACCAGCAGCTAACTTCATCAACCTGTTTCACTTTCACTCGGCCACTCTAGTCCGATCTTAGGGTGTTTTTTTATTCTGTATTCAGTTTGTATCTTGTGTTTCTCGTCTCTTTAATATTCAGTCTGACAGTTTATATTCAAAATGTTTATCAGTCCGATATCTCAGCCTCTCAATGTCTCTTTGATTGCATCTCGCTTCAGGTGCATCGGTTCTCCTTTTCTATTAACTAGATATAAACATTATAATTCACGTCTGACTCAAAACACACTGAACCCGACCTCAGCCACACACTTGATGTAACGTCAGAGTAACGTCCAATAGATGAACAGGAGGTCTTGTTAAAGTCTGAGAGTCTCGTGTGGCTGTTTTGTTCTCGTAAACCCAAACATTTGATGCAGTTTCCAGATGTAAACTAAACATGTTCTCGCTGGATGTTGAGTCTTCTAAACAGCTGCAGGTAGAAAAACTGAAATACACGTAAAAATGTATATTTTAATTGGTTGATTCCAGGGAGATCAGCACCCGCATGGAGCTGGAGGGAAGCACCTCTTCATGTTTCCAGAGCAGACGATACCCAGGGCACGCCTGCCGGGTAAGAGAGAGTGTGTGTGTGTGTGTGTGTGTGATGGTTTTATCCGTTAATGTTTCTCCTCTCCGTGTCTCTCAGGTCGACAGGTCGAGGAAGAAGCTCCCTCTCCCGCCTCCCGACGATGACGATGGGGAAGATCAGGGGTTGCTGAATGTCGTCGCCATGTATGACTTCACCGCCAAGGAGGACAGTGACCTCACACTCAAACAGGTACACACACACTCACACACACACAGACACACACACACCAGGCAGGAGACGTGTGATGATGCGGTGTGTTGCGTCCACAGGGAGAAGAGTACGTCATCCTCCACAAACAGGACCAGCTGTGGTGGAGAGCGCAGGACAAACACGGGTAACTGAACCCGATCAATACAACACAACACAAATACTTTATATATATAACTACAACAACACAAATACTTT